ATTCATCATTATTCTGCCCTTCTCCCAGTCACTTGAGGTCGGCGCAACATGTTTGCTTCGTCCATACTCTTCTATCATATACCATTTCTTCGCTCACTCCCCTCCTACCCATATCGTCTTTCACACAATCCATCCATTTCTTCTTAGGTCTACCTCTTCCTCTAAATCCTTCCACATTCATGGTTAACACTCTCTTAACAACCTCATTTTCATTTCGTCTCATCACATGTCCATACCATTCCAAACGCGCACTCCTCAGCTTCTCTGTCACAGGTGCCACTTTCAGCTTCCACTTTCCTCTAACATACTCATTCCGTATTCTATCCATTCTCGTTACTCCACACATCCATCGCAACATTCGCATCTCTGAATTGAAATTCAAATACAAAATGAATAATAAATAATCTTTTAAAAAAACTATCAAAATAGGTACGCTTTTATACAAAATCCAACTAAAAAATAGAAAATAAAAAACCCGAATCACACGAGCTGTTATAGTTAATAAAAAATAATTTACAAAATTTACATAGTTTTTTTTAATCAAAACGTTTCGATTCACAAATTCCAGTTTTATTTTATTCACGTCAAGTAAAGAAAATTATTATTTTTAAATTATAAAGAAATTCTAAAAGTTCTGATTATATTATCATCACGATCTGAAAATAATATTTATTCAGAGGTCTTGAACTTAAGATGTTGAATTTTAGATGAAGAATACTTTTGGTTTGAAAGCTAAGTTTTCCCCAGTTGCCGACAAGAAACTAAAATAAAGCATGGTATATAAAAAAAAAAAATTAAAATCAATCAGTTATGAACTTTATGTCAATAGTTATTCAAATAATTAGATTAGTCAATAGTAATATGCAATAATAGTATTCGTAAAGTACTATAAAAATATTCTCTTGAAGAACTATTTAAAATGCAATAAACTATTTGGTTTCAACCAACATCGCCTCGGGGCCTCATATAGTTTTATGTATGTTAGTACTTAAACCGCACCAAGAGTCCATTTTGAGTTAGAAAAATGTTTTCTCTGCACCGGTACATATCTGTATATTTTTTTAGTCGACGGTCAAACTGTTGTTTGAAAATTGAGTGCACCATGGAATACAGGTCGGATACCTTTTAGGTTTTTTTTTCCCACATTTCTACAAAACAATGCATGCATGAAGTATTGTCGTCATTTTAAGTAACATAATTCAATACAATGAAGTCGTTCATGGCCTAAAAGACGAGACGCTAGATACATTAAGGCTCATGAGCGATAAATCGAATAATGTCATATTGTAAAAATTAAAAATTGCGAATTGTGGGCCATTTGGGTAACATCCTATCCATTCATCCTAAATTCAGAACAGGTCGTTCATCCCAAAATAGTCAGGCGTTCCAATTGGCAGGGTGGGCTCAGTAAAACTTGAGATTTCGAACTCGAAGTGGGTGGCAGTTTTTATTCGGAAGTTCGGTTTAAATTAAAACCAACTTTGGTCCTTGGACCTAATCACCCATCTATTACAAAAAAACAAAAAAGTGAAGTTAAATAATTGTCCGGCTCTGAGAACGAAATGTACAATATAAAAAATAGTTCCTGAAATTCGATTATAGTTTTTAAACAGTATATATAAAATGTTCACTTTATAAACCGAGACCTCTCCCGTTTCAAGATGGGTGGAGGCATTTATGTTGTAGATCCGGTAACCATTTGACACTAGGTGTAGCGTGAGCTTCGTTCACGAGTCAAAGAGTTTAAAAAGATTTTCCTTTTTCAGAAAATATTTTGTTTTAGCTTCCTGAAAAAAAAAATTACGAGATATTCTACTAGTAGGACCTCTTGTGAGTCCGCACGGGTAGGTACCACCACGCTGCCTGTTTCTGCCGTGAAGCAGTAATGCGTTTCGGTTTGAAGGATGGGGCAGTTGTAACTATACTAAGACCTTAGAACTTATATCTCAAGGAGGCAGCGGCATTTACGTTGTAGACCTCTATGGGCTCCGGTAACCATTTAACACCGGGTGGGCCGTGAGCGCGTCCAACAAGGTAAGCAAAAAAAATTTCTCATGTCTGAAACTAAGCAATGGCATTCTTAATGTCCACGGAGTCATAATAATATGATCGCAGTCACACGCTGTTACAAGGAGCTAGAGGAGCATACACGATAGTAATAAATAGAAATTACACAGCTAGCTTATTTATAAATCAAATATATTTATATTAAAAAAATAATCACGCACCTTAATTTTCACACGCATCGGCATATTAGGTATGTCTTCTCACAAAACGAACGAACACCAGTAGACATCAGAAGAATCTTCGATTAAAACTATGTGTATTTTTTGCGCAAATAAGTTTAAAAATGTCGACAACGATTCAGACCGTTATTTTTGTAAAAATAAACTATTTTTATGACATATCAGTTACAATATTCATGGCGAGGCTAACAGGCGCTAGGTCATTATCCCGATCATCATACATTCAGCTCAAGACAACCACTGCTCGACATAAGTCTCCTCTTAATTTCGTCACAACGATTGTTACCATTATTTTAGATTGAATAATATTTTTGTACTTCACGTAAATAAATCCTTGAGACGATGAGGTAATGTGACATTATCGCCTAAGGAAAAAATTGAGGAAAAGAATCTGAGGTCACGTTTCGTATGCAACGGTTACGCGAACTGTTAATTACTTACTAGTCAGCGCTGCAGCGTTTCAAGCTACATCAATTAAATACAATTAAAATTAATAGAGTAACTATCTTCTGTGAGCCAACACGGTTTTACTGGTGGTAGGACCTCTTGTGAGTCCGCACGGGTAGGTACCACCGCCCCGCCTATTTCTGCCGTGAAACAATAATGCGTTTCGGTTTGAAAGGTGGGGCAGCCGTTGTAACTATACTGAGACCTTAGAACTTATATCTCAAGGTGTGTGGCGCATTTACATTGTAGATGTCTATGGGTTCCAGTAACCACTTAACACCAGGTGGGCTGTGAGCTCGTCCACAAATCTAGGAAATAAAAAAAAATAAAAAAACACGCGTAGCTACCACCCTGACGAGTCATACAGTATAGTATTTATACAGCTTAAAGTATAACCTTTATACTATACAGTTGTGAGTTAGACCTCAAGCTTCAAAGTAGGTAGCAGAATTCACGTAGTGTCTATGCGCTCCGGTAACCACTTAATACTATTTGGACCGTAAACTAATGCTTACTATGCAGTAAATCATTCAAAAAAAAACCTTACCACGCAACATTAAAAATTAATATACAAATTTTCAACTTCATCTGATTAGCGACGTGCATGCAGCCTCATTGAATTCGAACGAATAGGTAAACAAATATTCATTTCATGTAAGTACATTGCATTAGCTCCATAACGCAGTCCCGGAGAATACATACAAATATATTATGTACATGATTTACATTTAAGTTTAGTTCTGCTCGAAACTTATATAATGACTAGTCTATACTCAAAATGCAAAAGTTTCACCTTTTGTGTATTGTAAATTAGTAATTTAACACTAAAGTACAATTTTACCATATAAAAGTGATTAAAGATTTCAATACTTTTTTATATGAACGCGCTGGATAAAAAGAATATGCGTTTTACAATATCGTACTTGGGCACAAGATAAGTCGGAATCCCAATTAAAAAATACCCCTCGTATTCTTCAAATTGCGTCGTAACCTAAATTAAAAACTCTTTGGATTCTTTTCTTTTTTTTTTTTAATATCCGAAACAACATAAATAATTACTAATCACATTAAATTCAACATCCAATATTTTCTTTCAAAAAAAAAACTACTGCAATAGATATATTCTTTTAAAATAGGAACTCGTGACGTCATGACATTTAGAACAACACTACTAGTTGAATGGTTTCGGTTTCAATTTAACTCGGTCTCGGTGGCACTGGGAGCGCGGTCAAATCTATTACAGACTGTTCATTCGAATTTCCCGAATGAAATGTGCGAGTGATTAACAAACAAGCTCGATACTCCAACAGACGGGGATTGTTATCGATAGCGGATAACCGACCTTTGAGTGATTTTCATTTACAAGGCTTTTCGAATAGCAGCTATCAGCTTCCACTTTCTATGTACTTTCACGCGAGCTCGGAACAATTATAAATTAGACGTTACATTTTTTTATATTTCGAATTCAACTAACTGAAATTTGTTCAGAAAATTCGAAGGTATTTGTGACAAATAAATACGAAATTCTACGAGAATATTAACAATGAAAAAAATGTTGAGCTCTAATAAAAACATTTACGTTATTCGTAGCCAAGCCTCCTCACTTGAATGAATGAGTAAGCCTACAATAATATTACGAAATGTTATTTTTTTGCGAAAATATATCGTAGGAGTTCGCTGTAGAAATTTTGTTACGTTATCAAGAATCTTCTGGCGTAACATTGGCGTGTTTACATCCCGCCGGCGCTATGGTAACGACACAAACTTTTCTAGGTTTGAACTTCTTAGTTATTTTACATTAGTTACTATTAGTTATCTATGAATTTATGTGATGAATTTAAAATTCAGTTAGAGTCAACCGCAAATATTTTTCGGTGGTCCCGTATAAATTTAACAACTCTCAAGACTTCCTCACGGGTACACCAAATTTTGGCAAGGACGTTTTGTGAATTTGGGAATACCATCGCGCAAGGTCGTCGGCCGCATCGATCGCCTGCGACAAGACTCGCGCCTGTGCCGAACCGCACACAACGCGCAACCAGACTCCTAACATTCCCCGTGTATAGTGAAAACACAAGCCGGCTCGTTCAGTATAAACGAGGGCGTCTAGGGGGGCAGTCGGCGCCCCTGGCACAAGATACCGGCAAAACTCGCCGATCGCGCGTCACTTCTTAAAGCACCCTCAACTGTGATATAACAAAACACCAATGCAACACAACGTTAGGTAAACTCGCGAAATCAACTTGAGAGTAGTTTCACAAACTTTTGAATTGTTTATTTAACGGGCATGGGTGTGGTAAAACTTACGAATTCGCGGCCGTTAGCGTAAGGGGTGGACAGGGTGTGAGAGCCACGTGATTTATAGCCAACCGCACAACGACGCCCTTCCCCTGTGGAATCGCCGGTGCATCTGATTCTGCGCATTGCAATTTCAGAAACGTAGGTGCGACATTTGAGTGGCGTAGACTGTTGACTCGTTTACGATAAGCGATTCTACAACGTGGGAATAAGGTTCACATGCCGGCAACGTTACCTACGACATTTTCTCGTTGTTCCGATGCAGCTGCACAGACCAGTGAGAACTTGTAAACAGAGTTAGTAAGTGATGGAAAGCCATAGCATTTACAAGTGTGTTCGATTCACTACGATCGCGTAGTAGATACGTAAATAGTTTTCATTCATCATTGCTACGATACGCACGCCGTCACCCACGTAACAAGGTCGGATTATTTTTACTGCTAACACGTCGACCCTCGTCCTTTTCAGTCCCTTTAATTACTGTGTCCCTTAATGATTTCGCCATGAATAGGCGTTTATATAAGTTAAATTATTTGGTTAAATAAAATTGTACCCAAACTCGATTTATGCATAATTTTCAAAGATGATTATGGCTTAATCTAAAAATAATTTATCTATTTCAAGTTAATATTTTTCGCGGACTTTTTTCTGGTTGCATTCAAAGCTGCTCACAGATATTATCTTAAAACTATTTTTTTAAACTCTTTCCTTATTAAACAAGCATCATTTTACACAACTTCCGCCACGTTTTTTTTTACTTTTCGCCACTTTTTTCGCTCGAATATAGTTTTATAACAATATGCAAAGTAATAAATTAAATTTTATACATATCAATCATTGCAATATTACTTTTATTTACAAAACTATTTTTTGGTTTTATTATTAATTCCTACTCTAGAATGTTTTATAGAAATGAGATTTAGTCGGCATATTGTTATATTCTGACCTTCGAGTTTGTTTGACTTGCACATTTTCTTTAATTTTAGATTTTATGTCTCCGCAATAAAATAATAATTATGTACTTACTCGAAACTTTCTAACTTATTTAACTTAGGAATTAATTTGAGATTGTAAGCTTACTTAGAAATGTTCCCAAATGACGCATCTATACCAAACTTTTTCTAATTAGCTAAAATAATTTAACGAAACTTTCGAAGCTTTCTGTATTATTTTAAGGGAAAGTACCTGCCAATTCCACGGCATTCCGTAGACGAAACAATTTGAAAATTTTAAACAAGTTAAAAGACCAACATTTTTATTTCGGATGTCATAATATTTCGGATATGATATTACTTCATCTATAATATATTATATTACGGATCAAGTATTTCGAGCGGCAAAAAATAATCAATTCAGTAGCTCGATTTTATTACGCGAGTAAGGAAACAACGGAATATCAGACAAATTCTCTTTTGTGTTGCGAATGAGAACATTTCTATGTATTATTTATATTATGACAGTTTCTTTCTCTCCGTATCCGCATTGAGTGTAAAAACATTTTAGATATTATTATTTAATTTCGTCGAGTTTTCTTTTATGGTTATATGCAACAATAAGTTTAAAATTGTTCTATTGTATCCGTGACCCATTTGGCTGTTCGGGCAAGAATCCCGCTATCTTTTTACTACTCAGTGATACGACTGTTCCGTGTTTGGGATTATAAACATTTTTTTTTTCAGTAAATACATGAATGAACCTGTTTTTTTTATATTTATGTACAAACTACCGGTGGCAAGACTCTATAATGTACAACAACGTAGAAACTTGTAAATTTTCTAAATTGACGTACAAGCTTCGGATGTCCATATATTTAAGGTACAACGACAAAAAATAACTATAATTTTCCATATCTACGCACAAACTATTGCTGGTAAAACACTTTGTAACGAAGCATGTATGAGTTCCGAATTAAAAGATCTCATGCGTATGCTTTCCTAAGGAAATAAAAATCATTATTTTAAAACGCAACTAGTATAAAAAGAGGTCCGCTTTAAAAATAGCGGCCTAAAAATGTTGACTTGTACATGAAAAACAAAAAAAAAAAAACATATAATCTAAACTTGTATTTTGTCTATTGTATTTTGACCTGTAAAAAATATACATATTGATGACTGATATTGATTTATTTAACACTCACAAACATATATAAAGGTTTTACTCGTGCATCTGTCACGATGACGGCGGTTTGTTTGGTTCACGTCTAATGCTTTGTAATTTCTTTTTCTACATACGAGTATATTTTATTGCCTTCGACATCAGCAACGCCAGGGACACAGCCAAGCCGATGCTTATTACAGCAGTGGTGGGCGATGTTTCTCTAGTAACTATGCTGTTAGCATAGGCTTTTCAGATTGGAATCGAAAGATGTGATAGACGACCGATAAGGAACTAAACTAGTTGATCAAACTCCCATATACTCAATTGAATCGACAGGCCAAACTTTGTTAAATGTTCGTGCCGCAGTAAAATATCATACTCTGAGACATTAAGAGCTTACTTTAAGTCGTAAATATAATATGAAGATAAACTTAAGATGATACCGACTTTTTGTCACACATCACTCGAGCAAAACGAATCCCCACTACCTGGTCCATACATAATTTTTATTTTTTATTTTTATTGCCCTTGTAGGCAGACGGGCGCACGGCCCATCTGATGGTGAGTGGTTACCGTCCCCCATGGACTTCAGCAATGCCAGGGGCAGAGCCAAGCCGCTGCCTACCGTCATTGAGTTTTAGCGGCGTATACTGTATGTATGTCATGAAATGTCCTTTTTCAAAGGAGCTTTGAAAGAGTACTAGTGGTTGGGCCTAACCAGACTAGTTCCTAGCCGTACTGGAGTACCTGGTAACAGTGCGTATTTACAGTAGTTTCCCAAAGCCGCCTTCGCCTTCTGAAGTCGCTTTCCAAAGTAACTACAAAAGAAAATAATGCGGCATCAACTCTTTATCTGTATTTCCGTGACGTTTATCCGATTTAGTAGAAGATTTTTATTGTAATAGGTTGGGAAAAAAGTCTTCGCATTGTAGTATGTATGAACTTGTAATAAAATCTCTTTGGCTATACTATTTGTCTCTGGCCGGTTTTGGTATCATTAAAAGTTTAAATTTTAAAGAAGATAATTCCAAATTCAAATTAAGAAAATGTGTGATTTTTATTTATTTTGCGTACTGTCAAGATGAGTGAATCTAATGAAGAAATTAGATACATTTTAAAAATTTACTACAAAAAATGTAAAAATGAGACGCAAACCGCAAAAAAAAATTGCGATGTTTATGGACCCAGTGCAGTGTCTGCGAGGGTAACACAAATTTGGTTTAAGCGTTTTCAATCCGGAAATGTTGATGTCAAATATGCACGTCGCTCTAAATTACGACGTAGCTGAAGAACTGAAAATTGACCACAAAACGGTTTTGGCGCATTTGAAAAATCCGGGTACACAAAAAAGCTCGATATTTGGGTACCTCACGAGCTCACTGAAAGAAATCTAATGAACCGTGTACTCATTTGTGATTCTTTATTCTGACGTAATGAAACTGAACCATTTTTGAAGAAGCTGACAGCTGGTGATGAAAAGTGGATCACGTACGACAAGAACGGCCCAAACAGGTCGTGGTCAAAGGCCGGTCGGGCTTCACAGACTGTGGCGAAACCCGGGTTAACTCGCAACAAGGTGATGCTGTGTGTGTAGTGGGATTGAAAGGGCATTATTCATTATGTGCTATTACCACCAGGCAGGACCATCGATTTTGAACTCTACTGCGAACAACTGATAAGATTAAAGCAAGAAGTTGAGAGAAAGCGGCCAGAATTAATCAACAGAAGGGGTGTGGTTTTTCATCATGATAACATAGACCTCACACAAATTTAGCCACTCAGCAAAAATTAAGAGAGCTAAACTGGGAGATGTTAATGCATCCGTCGTATAGACCTGATCTTGCACCTTCAGATTTCCACCTGTTTCAGTCTCTTCAGATTTCTGAATTCTTTAGGCAGTGTCAGGTTAACACCACGAGAGGAGTGCCAAAACCAATTGTCGCGGTATTTTGATCAGAAGCCCCAAAATTTCTATAGCAATCATCATGTCCTACAAGATGGCAAAAAGCTATCGAACAAAATGTTACCTACATACTTAAGTTAAATGTAAATGAAACAAATTAAAAAAATGTTGTGAATTTTCTTAAAAAAACGCGAATGAACTTTTCCCCCAACCTATTATGTTTTTTTTTTGTCATTTTCGGAGAAGCTTTTTTTATTTCATCATGTGATGTACTGTAAATAAATATATTTCGAGCATTTAGAAAATCATAGCGAGCCGAGTAACCGCCTTTCACTGATACCATAGTCAATACTTATCTAAATCTACAGTGGTTTTTACGGATGTTCCGTTATAACTACTGAACCATGCATCCGATTGACTTGAAACTTGATATACATGTAGAAAATACATGTACTTCATGGATAGGCTAATATTTATATGAGTGTTGGACTCCCTAATAATAATTACAATAAATAATAATGTCAATTTAAAATGCCCAGCAAAGCGGGCGAGTTCGGCTAGTTACGAATAAATTTAAAATGGCCAAGTAGCAGCGCAAAGCTCTTCGCGGCGCTTATGAATCCAAAAACGAGGGAATACTAATAAATTGTTTTTTTAATGTGCGATTTTACAATGTCCTTCCAGACGAGTTTCTAGGTAAATGTGCCGTAACAAAGTTTGAAAATTGTCCGAACGTCAAGGTCGATAGCGATTTAATGCAGAATTAATGTTTCAAACTTCGGTATGATAATCGAGGTCGTTACAGAGTAGCTATAAGCGTGCCTCTCACAGAAGAAGTCGTATGCTCGTAACAAACTCTACTGTTTTATATTTCTACATAGGTTTTTTTTTGTAATTACAGTTTTTTTTTATTTATTTTTCCCTTGTATTCAAACGAGCGTACGACCTACCTGATGGTGAGTGGTTACCGTCGTCCATGGACTCCAGCAATGCCAGGGGCCAAGCCAAGCCGCTGCCTACCGCTTAGCTTATCAGTATTTTGTTTTCTTTTTAATTCCCAACACGTATACAATTCAATGACATGTACTTTAATCTTCCGTCGTGACATTAAATGAGAAAACTTACAACA